GCGGGGCCCCCCCCGCCGCCGGCTTCCCCCGAGGCTTTCAAAGCCGCGGAGGGGCTCCGGCGGCGGTGCATCCGGCGTACAAGACGACCCCCGATTTTGGGGGGATGTTTTTTAACATCAGAGGTCGTCTTGTACGCCGGAATATACGGTAAATGTTTTTTTTTCTTCAGAGCAAAGAAAACTGTAGATGTTGGAATCTAATGGTATCTTCCAACAAGTAAGCATTATTAACATAACCCATAAACCAGAAAAATAATCTGTTATTTCTTAAAATCAATTGACGTTTCATTCTCCTATTTCTACTCCCTCTTATATATAATAATGTCCCTTTAATAAGCAGATTCTTTATAACTGTTCAGCATCTCACACCATGTATTCAAATGCCACCTTCAGTCTTTCCATATGCTTTTAAATCCTTACTACAGGTAGTCAAAACACTGAAATCTCAGAGGGGTAGCCATGTTAGTCTGTATCTGTAAAAATCTTATGCCCAAAAAATTCTTTAGTCTTTAAACTGCCACAGGTCTCCTCATTTTTCTTTCAAAACACTAAGAACATCGTAAGTTAGCCAAAATTCATAGTATTTCCTGAACTTAAAGTTTTAAAACTATTTTCAGAAAGGCTGCAATAGGAAAACAAATTGTTTTGTTTCCATAATTATTTATCAGTCATGTAAATTGAAACAGTAGCGATCTGTCTGATAACATTCCTCAGGAAATGAAAAATCAACAGCGGCTAACCTACAAAAATCTCAACTTCTGTAAATGACCTTACTTCTGATTATGGGTTCAATGTTTTACAACAGTATACTCCCAGAAGACTGCATTTTTGGAGATAAAGCTTTCAAGAAACTAATGGATTCCTTGCTGTCAGCAAGAAGGCACTTCTGTTTTACAGTGAGATTTCGAAGTATATTGATGGCATTTGTCTTTGAATTTCATAGGAAATAATCATTCATACGCTTGACGATTTTTACCTTACTCCTGGGAAAATCAAAGTCTGCACGTTAAAGAAAGAAACGTGAGAGTGTTATTTTCCACCCACCTTTTTTTGCCATTTCAAAAGCTTTTATTAGAGTTTTGATGGCCTGTTGGTGTTCTTTATTTTCTAGCATTTTGTCTGCTAGTAATGTATAAATTCTCCAGAGATGCTCACAGGCCAGTGAGTTGTAAGTATGGCCTGTCTCATCCTTCCACATCCGCCCCAGTGTCAATTGATGGAATGCTTCATAATGCTCTGCAGCTTTCATGAACTGACCTGAAAAATACAACTCATTCATAAATATAAGCAGTATATTTAACAAAATATTCCAAAACGCTTTACATACCATCATTTTTTATAAAATAAGTTGTTTCTAACTTAACTTCACAAAGGTTCCAATAATCATCAACCTATAACTTACTAAAAATATGGGTAATGCAGAAAATATTCCATATCTTACAGGTATCAGTAAGTCATTCTTATCTTCAATCCACAGCTTGTTGCCCAAATTTCCAGTTACTTACAAATGAAGGTAGTTTTTACTAGATTACTTGAATAGATCCATGATGTTTGGAAAAAAAGTCAGAATCTTCCAAAAAGCAGAAATGATACTGTGTGGGTATATTTTAAAGTGTATGTAAAGGACCACTATCCAGAAACTACAGGCATTCCCAGGTTACATACAAGATAGGGACTGTAGGTTTGTTCTTAAGTTGAATTTGTATGTAAGTCGGAACTGGTACATATTGTACCCCAGGTGTCCCCGATTCAGCCGCTGCTGAAACTGACCAGCGGCTGACTACAGGAAGACCGAGGCAGAGCTGCTTTGCCCTGGGCTTCCTGGAATCAGCCGCTGATCAGTTTCAGCAGCAGCTGACTTGGGGACACCTGGGGTAGAGCAGCTGGGGTGCTGC